ATAGAACTTTTTTTTTTAACATGATTGGATTATGAATTATTTAAATTTAATGTAATTTTTATATATTTATTAATGATTTAAATAATTCAGTGAATTTTTTTTGAAAATAAAAAGTTTTGAATATGAGTAAGGTGTGATAAAAAATTAAAAAGTAAAAAATAATTATTTTTTATGGTACAATTAAGAGAAAAAAAAAAATATATATATATTGAAGGTTAAATGCTAAATTTGGTCCCCCAACTTTAGTGAATTGCACATTTTTGGTCCTTTAACAATTTTGTGCACTTTTTTGATCCCTCAACTATACAAAATACACTCCGTTAATCCTTCTGTCAATTTTCGCCGTTAACTTGGCCACATGGCATTTTTTATATTTTTTGTTGATGACATGGCAAAAATAACTTAAAAAGACGCTCATTTGGATTTTTTTTGCGACATGTCATCTTTCTTTCTCATCTTCACTCTCTGCAAAATCAATCTCCACTCCATCTGCAGAATCAATCTCCACTCCATCTGCAAAATCAATCTTAACCCATTTCTTCTTCTTCTCTAAATGCTCTCTCATCTCCACTCTTTTACAAAACCGATCTTAACCCATTTTTTTTTCTTCTCTTCTCTCAAGAGAACTTGAGAAATTGAACCCAGCTACTGGGTTTCTCCACTCCATCTACAGAATCAATCTTAACCCATTTCTTCTTTTTCTCTAAATGCTCTAATCAATCAAACTCTCATATTTATTAATCAAACAATATCAATCAAACTCTAATCAAATTCCAACAAAAATACAATCAAATTGTAAATCAACTCTCAAATTTATAACAACTGGAAATGAAAATCGAAAAAGGAATGAAAAAACATGAATCCATCATCAAAACAGCAAAACTGGCTTCATCGGAACCCAGCTGGGTCTTGTCGAACCCAACAGCTGGGTTCGGGGAAACCCAGCAAGGCTGGGTTCGACGAGACCCAACAGGGTTCGTCGGAACCCAGTCTTATTGGGTTCGGGGAAACCCAGCTTGTTAGGTCTCGTCGAAACCCAGCAAGGGAGACTGGCTGGGTTCGACAAGACCCAGGCTTGCTAGGTTTGACGAGACCCTGGCTTGCTGGGTTGGACGGAACGCAGCAGATCTGGGTCTCGTTGAACCCAGCAAGGCTGGGTCTCGTCGAACCCAGCCTGGCTGGGTCTCCCTTGTTGGGTTCCGACGAGACCCAGCAGGCTGGTTTCCGATGAGACCCAGAGTAGCCATCGGAAGTGGAGACCCAAGGCAGGAAAGAAAGAAAGAGAAAGAAAGAAGGGGAAGAATAGGGATTGGGTGGGTGAGGGTAGTTAAGTAATTTTATTTGTTTTTATTTAAACTATAAATATTAATCTACGTGTCATTTTTTTTATTTATATAACATAATTAAAATATATATTATTGTCACATCATCA